CTGCCTGATTCTCGTCCTTCGAACAACCAACGGGAGAGAGACTAACACTAGCTGGCCTTCAACCAGATATCTGATCTTACAAAGCCTACTGGTGCGAGTCCACAAAACTTAGGGGATATCAGGTCTTTCCGAAGCTATGATTACAAGACTATCTAGCAAAAGAAATAAAAAGAAAAGAAAAAATCAAAAATCAGACAACACCTCAGTCTAATTTCACTAGAACAGATATGATCATAACTGAATGACTGTACTCCCACTAAATTTTACCCCACAAAATGATATAACTAAACCACTGATATGAATTCAGGAACCCCAGTATAGATCCACTATATAGCACATATTAGGTAAAGAGAGAAAAACACCCCTATAAGGGTGTAGGGTTACCATGTCCTAGCTTTGGAATGATATAGAGTTTCATTAATTCAAACAAGCAGTATCACGACATCCTAAAAATTGGAGAGTATTCTGTCTTAATTTGAAAGTCACTAGAGCTTACTACATGCACTAGGCCAATTAGTCAAAAGGGTACCTCAGCAAGATTACCTAATATACCTCTCATAATTAACACCGAAAAGTAAAAGGAGGATCAAGCAGTACAGCAGTAACCCAGATCCAAGGGTTGTGTTCCCAACGTGACATTGCCTACGTTCGACCAACATTTTGGCAAGCCTCTAGGAAGCCCTCCAGGATATCAAGTGGTAAACACAGTGACTTCAGAGCACCATGCAAATGCAATGCAAAGAACATATATATGTAGATAAAAGTTCGCATCATAAAGTTCAAGTCAAGTTCTCTAATATCCCTAGCAGAGTCGCCAGAAACTGTAGTTGATTTTTCGCCCTCCTCAGAGGTGTTTAGTCTCCTCGGATACGATTCCCTATAGTTCGGACTCTCGTGGTTCTAAATCTGGCTTCACAAGTGTAGTGTGAAACAGAAAAACAAATGAGAGTCCATATCCAACAAATCTTAGAAAAATCCATTAATCACCAGAGATGCCAAAAATGGACAGTATTGCCAGATTTCAGAGTCGCCACCTAATATTTTTGGGAGAATTAAAAATCATGTGACTCGTGTTAAAGGCCATTTGTCCGTCATAACCAAAGTTGTCTCAGTTTGGCCTCTACTAAGTCATAATGTGAATTTTATAGACATTATATGCTTATATTCTGTTTTATTAATACGCTAACATTACTATGTGAGGCAAACAAGTATAGACCACGTCACTTACTTTAGAATGCTTTGATCTCATGTGATTTTGGAAGAGTTTACAATATGTGCAACCCAAAGGAAAAATGAGCTCATATGTATAACAATCAAAGTCATTTCAATTTAAGCAAAATAGCTGCCATCCACAGGCATTCATAGAGATATTTCAAATAAGCAAATAGCCCCATGGTAGTATGCTCAACATGGTAACAACAGACACACTAAAAATGCACATGACTAATGCAACACATACAAAATGTAACTACTAGATTCGGCTATTAACATGACATGCGAATCAACTCAAAACATGAGCTAGCGCACATAATCAAGTAGGAAATGATAATGACATCAAGTATGATGAGTCGAACCTTAATACATGTAAAAATGGAAACGATGCATGGGAATGATAAAGGAAAACGTGATGCTTTATACAACCACGGTAAGCATCTAAATAAAAAGGGAGAAAGAAATAGATGGTGGAAGACATACATCAAGTGTTACAAATTTGCCTTCGTTACAAGAGGGTCTGTAACAACCCTCACCTTATCTTAGTCATGCTCGCATGCATTTATATGATTTTGTCTTGTTAAGTTTGCATTGTAAATCTTGTCTTGGTTTACTTAAGTGTTGCTTGTATGCTTTGTTTTTTGCTTGGTGAGCGTAGCCGAGGTCATCTTAAGCCTAGGTTGCCTTTGAACCTCTTACACCTAGGACCATCTTGGAACCACTTTGGTTGACATCCACCTTCACCCTTTCATATTGGCCGAGATGTCACTATCTAGGCCGAGGTGTGCATCACCAAGGCCGAGATATGTATTATCTAGGCCGAGATGTTATCTTTGAACCCAAGTGATCTTGTTCTTGGATTGGTACGACCTAGACCGAGGTGTGGCACATCTAGGCCAAGGTGTGGCACAGCTAAGTCAAGTGTTGTCCTTCCTAGCCGAGATCATTGCAACCTTACTTGCCGAAACCTTTTCCTAGCCGATGTCATTGCTTGCCGGAGTGTCCTTGCCATCTAGCTTGTCTTATACACTTTGTCTTACACATGTCTTGTCTTTCAATCACCTTTTTGAGGAGAACCAATCCGGTAATGCCACGTGCCCTGCAGAGGGTTAAGTCAGCCGGCAGACCTAAGAAAATATATCATTTGTTACATGTCTTTGATCTTTAGGAGAGAGAAGCTCTAGAGGAGGAAGAAGGAGTTCTTGAGAGAGAAGTACATTTCCAAGCTTGATCCTTAGGATTCAAACCGTTAGATTCGTGTCTTGAGGTTAGAATCTTAATCTACACTTGTCGTTCTTATTGTTCATTTAGCTGCATTGTAAGATCGAGCACGATTTGCAAGCCATGCATTGATTTAAAGTTGGTTTTAGAAAGAGAAAATGGTGTTCTTGTGTTCTTGAAAGAAAACCAAGTTTTGATCCAAAAGCTTATATCAAGTTTTATGTTTTCGTGTTTGTTTTCACGAAATCTCCAAGTACGGGTACTCAGGTCCATGTTTTCGAACTCCTAGCATGAAATCTCAGTTTTTGAATAAAGAAGTTATGATTTTAGCATTCATATTCTTCATCTTCTCCATGTTCATGTTCTTCATATTCTTCGAAGGGAAACCTAGATTTTCCCGACTTCACTCTCTTGAATGTGGCCATCGGGAACACACCTCGGCAAGGAGGTGTGAGACCTCGGCCAAGACCTGGTTAGTGCCCAGCATGTTTCTCGAGATGAAAAATAGTATTTTAACTCCTAGCATGTTTTGCTTTGTCTTGATCTAGTTTTGAAGGAAATGTCGGGATCATTTGCATGCATGTAAAGCTTGTTTTGGGAATGCATTTCGTATCCATTTTGAGCATCTCTTCTTGTCTTCTTGAAGTGCATTCAGTAGACCTTGTTATATAATTGTAGGTCTTGGATCCTTGCCTTAAGCCCTACACTCGAAGAGCTATGTGAGTGGTATTCTTAATAAAGCTATGTTATAACGTTTTGATAAAGTCTTGTTTTGCCTTGTTTGGAAAAGTATTTGTAAGCATGAATGATATCCCTATTTTGTGTATCAAGTATTGGCTTTGTTTTGGATGACATTCTTTGAAAGTCTGTACATGCTAGAGGACTCTAAACTTTTGTAGCACAAGTCCGTACGTGCTGGGGACTCTAAGCCTTTGTAGCACAAGTCCTTAGTGCCAAGGGAGTATAATGCAACTGCACCCTTGTTTTGGAAGTCCATACGTGCTAGTGGACTTTAAGCCTTTGTAGCACAAGTCCGTACGTGCTAGTGAACTCTAAGCCTTTGTAGCACAAGTCCGTACGTGCTAGTGGACTCTAAGCCTTTGTAGCACAAATCCTTACGTGCTAGAGGACTCTAAGCTTTTGTAGTACCTTTGTTTAATGTCATCCCTTGTATTATTGATGCTTGTAAGCATCCCTTGAAGCTTGAAAGATTTGATAGATGAACTTGGTTTATCCCTTGATATTGTACTAGATGTGTTATGTGTTGTTTTGATATTGTTTTGATAAAGGTCTCGTATATCATTCATGCAACCCTTTATTACTAATATCATTCACTGAGTATCCAAGCTCACCATCTCTATATATATGTAGGTGACGAGCAGGAAGGCGGTGATGCCTAGATGTTTGTTTGCAAGTTTGTTTTGGATTCCCACTTTTGCTAGCATCTTGAAGATTATGTTTCTTGGCTTTGCACTTATGTCTTTTGTATATGTCGGCTTGAGAAACCTTTTGATCAAGATGTATTATGTACTCTATTTCATTTGTATCCAAGATGTAAAATTGTATTATGTATGTCACTTCATTTGATTTATGCACAGCTCTTGTGGACTAATTAGATTTAAATTCATTGCTTCTGCACATGTAAGCCCCATATGTATACTCTGTTGTGTGTGAATCTTTGTTAGTTGGCCTTGGGTAATCTCGAATTACTGGCCATCATGGCACCATTCTACTAGGGGCGGAATAGGGTTGTGACAGATTGGTATTAGAGCACAAATTCCTTATAGTATGTTATTCACACACTTTGAGTCCTAAAGAGTATAGGATTTCCCTTAGAATGATCTTAGGATTGCATCATATTGCTTACTACTTGACAAGATGTGCATCCTCTCGGCATGATTATTTGTTACTTGCATACATGTCTATTTGCTCATTTTGTTTAAAGCCACATTTTGCATACTCTTAGCATCATGAGAAGGGGTAGACCTCCAGTTGGCCGAGATCATCCAGAGGATAGATTGGACAGATTAGAGAGATTGGTCGAAGGTTTGGTTCGTGAGTTGAGACAACCTAGGCCACAAGACACTAGTACCACCTCCACTTAGGCCGAGCAGACAAACGGCCGAAATGTAGTTCCGCCTTCACCTCCTCCAGTATCACAAGTGCCCCTACAGCCAGCCTTGTATAGGGACGGCACGATAGCCTTGATTAAAGAGTTTAAGAAAATGAAACTGCCGAGGTTCCTTGGGGGTATAGAGCCGATGAAAGTCGAAGCATGGGTTCTTGAGATGGAGAAGTTGTTCGAGGTTTTTCCCAGCACCGACGCTCAGAAGGTGTCATTGGCAGCATTCACATTGGATGACGACGCTTGTAGGTGGTGGATGATGACCCGAGAAAGCAATCCAGGTCTAACTTGGGCCAGATTTTTGGAGTTGTTTTACAACAAGCACTTTCCCCTCAGTGTTCGAGATCGCAAAACCACAGAATTCCAGACTTTGACGTAGGGCAATAGAACAGTGGTTGAATACGACCGTACTTTTACCGAATTGGCGAGGTATGCACCTCACATGGTCAACGATGAATATAGGAAGTCTAGAAAGTTTGAAAGTGGGCTTCGTGGACCGATACAAGATCGAGTTAACATACCCAACATGCCGACTTGCGCCGGAGTATTGGACAAAGCCATCTTAGCAGAAGCTAACCTGAACAGGTACCAGAATTCAGGAGAAAACCAGAGAAAGAGGCAGAACTATGACAATCGCCGCGTGTCGTATGGAGCCAAGAAGAAGGCAAGCATGGGTAATTCTAGCAACTCGAATCAGGAGGGTAACGCTAAGCCGACGTGTTCAAGTTGTGGAAAACCACATTTCAGGGTTTGTCGTTGGGCGTCTGGAGCTTGTTTTGAATGTGGTGAAGTAGGTCATCGTGTGAAAGATTGCCCCAAGACAAAAACTAATGATAGCAAGAAAGACGGGAATACCTCGAGTTCCGCGCAGAAAAGTAATGTCGGGAAATGACAGATGAGGCAGGGCAGAGTTTTTGCATTAGTGCCAGGAGACACTCAGAGTGCCGAGACAGTAGTGTCAGGTATACTCCCCATTTGCTCTCAAGATGCTTATATATTAATTGATTCGGGTTCTACACATTCATTTGTATCTGCTAAGTTTGTCGAGAAGTTAAATAGAGAACTAGAACCCCTTGATTATGTGTTATGTGTGTCTACTCCATCTGGGAGAACTATGATTGTTGCATCCATTTATAGAGCATGTGTTATTGTGATTGAGAATGTCGAACTGTTAGTTGATTTGATGCCGTTGAACATGACTCATTTTGATATTATATTGGGAATGGATTGGTTAATAGCGAATCATGCATCTATTGATTGTGTTTCCAAAAGTGTCACATTGAAACCCCCAAACCAAGCAGAGGTTACGTTTCAGCGTAAAGGAGTAGTATCCCCACCGTACTTAATCTCATCCATGAAAGCTTATAAGTTGATTCAAAAAGGGTGTCAGGGTTATTTATGTAGTGTACTAAGTAATATGAATGGAAATGTTGAATTGGCCGATGTCCCAGTTGTTAATGAATTTCCCGACGTCTTTCCAAACGACTTGCCTGGCCATTTAGTTGATAGAGAAGTAGAACTTACTGTCGAAGTTATGTCAGGGACCAAGCCTATCTCTAAAACACCCTATAGAATGGCCCCCGCCGAGCTTAAGGAATTGAAACTGCAACTACAAGAGTTGTTAGATAAGGGTTTTATTAGGCCGAGCACTTCACCTTGGGGAGCGCCAGTTTTGTTTGTTAAGAAGAAGGATGGTACACTTCGTCTTTGTATTGATTACCGAGAGCTAAACAAAGTAACCATCAAGAATAAGTATCCATTGCCGATGATAGATGATTTGTTTGATCAGTTACAAGGAGCACGAGTCTTTTCAAAAATTGACCTTAGGTCAGGCTACCATCAGCTTAAGGTTAAAGCCGAGGATGTTGAGAAGACTGCTTTCCGGACAAGGTATGGCCACTACGAATTTTTAGTAATGCCTTTTGGAGTAACTAATGCTCCCGCAACATTTATGGATTTGATGAACAGAGTCTTTAAGCCGTGCTTAGATGAGTTTGTAGTTGTTTTCATCGACGATATATTGATCTACTCTAAGAGTAAAATTGAGCATGAGAATCATTTGAGACTTACCTTGGAAGTTTTGAGGGACCATAAATTGTATGCTAAGTTCAACAAGTGTGAGTTTTGGCTTTCTAGTATTTCAGTTATGGGTCATGTAATTGATGAAAAGGGTATTTCGATTGACCCTAGTAAGATTGGAGCTGTTGTGAATTGGCTGAGGCCGACTAATGTGTCCGAGGTTCGTAGTTTTCTAGGTTTGACAGGTTATTACAGAAAGTTCGTGAAGGACTTCTCAAGGATTACAATTCCATCGACACAATTGACTAAGAAGGGAGCGGCATACGAATAGACCAAGGATAGGGAATCAGCCTTCCAGGAGCTGAAGACGGGGTTAGTCACAGCACCAGTTCTCGTACTACCAACAGGTAATGAGGAATTTCAGATTTATAGTGATACTTCACATAAGGGTCTGGGTTGTGTATTAATGCAAGAGGGTAAGGTTATAGCATATGCATCCCGCCAGTTGAAACCCCATGAAAAGAATTACCCTACCCATGATTTAGAACTGGCAGCCGTAGTATTTGCTTTAAAGATTTGGCATCACTACTTGTATGGAGCTTCTTGTCAAGTTTTTACAGACCACAAGAGTTTAAAGTACTTGTTTACTTAGAAAGAATTGAATATGAGACAGAGAAGATGGCTTGAGTTATTGAAGGACTATGACATGCAAATTCAATATCACCCAAGTAAAGCTAACACCGTAGCCAACACTTTAAGCAAAAAGATAGTTGGAAATTTGGCATATCTAGCAATGATTTTAGTGGAGCCGACTACTATTGAGGAAGTTAAGGCAAGACAAATGGAGGATGGATTCTTCATGAAGATAGCCGATGAGATTATCACAAAGCCGAGATCAAGGTACACTATCGAAAATCAAGTGCTTAAGTTCAAGGGAAGATTGTACGTGGCCGACATCCCGGAGATGAAAAGAAAAATTTTGCAAGAAGCCCATGGTTCTAGACTTGCTGTTCATCCAGGGAACACCAAGATGTATCAAGATATGAAGCAGACCTTTTGGTGGCCGAATATGAAAAGAGAAATAGCCGAGTTCGTATCCCAATGTTTGTATTGTCAACAAGTGAAAGCAGAACACCAGAGGCCAGCAGGACTTCTTCGACCCTTGTCGATTCCTGAGTGGAAATGGGAACACATCTCCATGGATTTTATGGTTGGTTTGCCGAAGACACAAAAGGGTATGGATTCAATTTGGGTTATCGTGGATAGATTAACTAAGTCAGCACACTTCTTGCCTGGTAAGACTACCTTTAACGCCAATCGACTTGCTTTGTTGTATATGAATGAGATTGTTAGACTTCATGGAGTGCCGATGTCTATTGTGTCAGACCGAGATCCGAAGTTTGTTTCTAGATTTTGGCAGAGTTTACAAAAGGCTTTGGGAGCCGAGTTAAGGTTTAGCACAGCTTTTCATCCCCAGACCGATGGGCAAACAGAGAGAACAATTCAAACACTTGAAGATATGCTTAGACTATGTGTATTGGACTTCAAGGGAAGTTGAGAAGTGCACTTACCATTAGTGGAATTTGCTTATAACAACAGTTATCAAGCTAGCATTGACATGGCGCCGTATGATGCTTTGTATGGAAGGAAGTGCAGATCGCCGATATGTTAGACCGAGGTGGGAGACAAAGCTCTGATTGGTCCAGAACTAGTTCAAGTGACAACTGAAAAGATTAAGCTCATTCATCAAAGAATCAAAACCGCTTAGAGTCGATAGAAGAGTTATGCTGACCAGAGAAGAAAGGAGTTAGAATTTGAAGTCGGGGATCATGTATACCTGAAGGTTTCGCCGATGAAAGGAGTTACAAGATTTAGAAAGAATGGTAAGTTAGCACCTCGTTACATTGGGCCATTTGAAATTCTTGAGGAAGTTAACCCCGTTGCTTACAGACTTACTTTGCCGCCAGAACTAAGTCAAGTTCACAATGTGTTTCACATTTCGATGTTGAGGAAGTATATACGGGATCCAGTGCATCTAATTGATCATTTTGAGATTGTGGTTAATGAAGATTTAGGATACGAGGAGAAATCGATACGGATTATTGATAGGCAAGTGAAATAGTTAAGGAGTAAGTCGATAGCGATGGTGAAAATTGAATGGAAGGAGCATTACGGCAAGGATGCTACATGGGAAATGGAAGAAGAAATGAGGATCCAACATTCAGAATTGTTTTTGGGGCAAGGTAACTCAAGTTTGGGGACCAAACTTCTTTAAGGGGGGTAGGATGTAACAACCCTCACCTTATCTTAGTCATACTCGCATGCATTTATATGATTTTGTCTTGTTAAGTTTGCATTGCAAATCTTGTCTTGTTTTGCTTAAGTGTTGCTTGTATGCTTTGTTTCTTGCTTAGTGAGCGTAGCCGAGGTCATCTTAAGCCTAGGTCACCTTTGAACCTCTTACACCTAGGACCATCTTGGAACCACTTTGGTTGACCTCCACCTTCACCCTTGCATATTGGTCGAGATGTCACTATCTAGGCCGAGGTGTGCATCACGAAGGCCAAGATGTGTATTATCTAGGCCGAGATGTTATCTTTGAACCCAAGTGATCTTGTTCCTGTATTGGTACGACCTAGACCGAGGTGTGGCACATCTAGGCCAAGGTGTGGCATAGCTAAGTCAAGTGTTGTCCTTCCTAGCCGAGATCATTACAACCTTACTTGCCGAAACCTTTTCCTAGCCGATGTCATTGCTTGCCAGAGTGTCCTTGCCGTCTAGCTTGTCTTATACACTTTGTCTTACACATGTCTTGTCTTTAAATCACCTTTTTGAGGAGAACCAATCCAGTAGTGCCACGTGCCCTGCAGAGGGTTAAGTCAGCCGGTAGACCTAGGAAAATATATCATTTGCTACATGTCTTTGTTCTTGAGGAGAGAAAAGCTCTAGAGGAGGAAGAAGGAGTTCTTGAGAGAGAAGTAGATTTCCAAGCTTGATGCTTAGGATTCAAACCATTAGATTCGTGTCTTGAGGTTAGAATCTTAATCTACACTTGTCGTTCTTATTCTTTATTTAGCTGCATTGTAAGATCGAGCATGATTTACAAGTCATGCATTGATTTAAAGTTGGTTTTAGAAAGAGAAAATGGTGTTCTTGTGTTCTTGAAAGAAAACCAAGTTTTAATCCAAAAGCTTATATCAAGTTTTATGTTTTCGTGTTTGTTTTCATGAAATCTCCAAGTACGGGTACTCAACTCCATGTTTTCGAACTCCTAGCATGAAATCTCAGATTTTGAATAAAGAAGTTATGATTTTAGCATTCATAGTCTTCATCTTCTCCATGTTCATGTTCTTCATGTTCTTCGAAGGGAAACCCAGATTTTCCCGACTTCACTCTCTTGAATGTGGCCATCGAAACCACACCTCGGCAAGGAGGTGTGAGACCTCCGCCAAGACCTGGTTAGTGCCCAGCATGTTTCCCGAGATGAAAAACAGTGTTTTAACTCCCAACATGTTTTGCTTTGTCTTGATCTAGTCTTGAAGGAAATGCCGGGATCATTTGCATGCATGTGAAGCTTGTTTTGGGAATGCATTTCGTATCCATTTTGAGCATCTCTTCTTGACTTCTTGAAGTGCATTCAGTAGACCTTGTTATATGATTGTAGGTCTTGGATCCTTGCCTTAAGCCCTACACTCGAAGAGCTATGTGAGTGGTATTCTTAATAAAGCTATGTTACAACGTTTTGATAAAGTCTTGTTTTGCCTTGTTTGGAAGAGTATTTGTAAGCATGAATGATATCCCTATTTTGTGTATCAAGTATTAGCTTTGTTTTGGATGACATTCTTTGAAAGTCCGTACGTGCTTGGGGACTCTAAACTTTTGTAGCACAAGTCCGTACATGTTAGGGGACTCTAAGCCTTTGTAGCACAAGTCTTTAGTGCCAGGGGACTATAATGCAACTGCACCCTTATTTTGGAAGTCCGTACGTGCTAGTGGACTCTAAGCCTTTGTAGCACAAGTTCGTACGTGCTAGTGGACTCTAAGCCTTTGTAGCACAAGTCCTTACATGCTAGTGGACTCTAAGCTTTTGTAACACCTTTGTTTAATGTCATCCCTTGTATTATTGATGCTTGTAAGCATCCTTTGAAGCTTGAAAGATTTGATAGATGAACTTGGTTCATCCCTTGATTTTGTACTAGATGTGCTATGTGTTGTTTTGATATTGTTTTGATAAAGATCTCGCATATCATTCATGCAACCCTTTATTACTAATATCATTCACTGAGTCTCCAAGCTCACCCTCTCTATATATATGTAGGTGACGAGCAGGAAGGCGGTGACGCCTAGATGTTTGTTTGCAAATTGCAAGTTTGTTTTGGATTCCCACTTTTGCTAGCATCTTGAAGATTATGCTTCTTGGCTTTGCACTTATGTCTTTTGTATATGTCGGCTTGAGAAACCTTTTGATCAAGATGTATTATGTACTCTATTTCATTTGTATCCAAGATGTAAAACTGTATTATGTATGTCATTTTATTTGATTTATGCACAGCTCTTGTGGACTAATTAGATTTAAATTCATTGCTTCCGCACATGTAAGCCCCATATGTATACTCTGTTTGTGTGTGAATCTTTGTCAGTTGGCCTTGGGTAATCTCGGATTACTGGCCATCATGGCACCATTCTACTAGGGGCGGAATGGGGTCGTGACAGATTGGTATTAGAGCACAAATTCCTTATAGTACGTTATTCACACACTTTGAGTCCTAAAGAGCATAGGATTTCCCGTAGAATGATCTTAGGATTGCATCATATTGCTTTCTACTTGACAAGATGTGCATCCTCTCGGCATGATTATTTGTTACTTGCATACATGTCTATTTGCTCGTTTTGTTTAAAGCCACATTTTGCATACTCTTAGCATCATGAGAAAGGGTAGACCTCCAATTGGCCGAGATCATCCAGAGGATAGATTGGACATATTAGAGAGATTGGTCGAAGGTTTGGTTTGTGAGTTGAGACAACCTAGGCCACAAGACACTAGTACCACCTCCACTCAGGTTGAGCAGACAAACGGCCGAAATGCAGTTCCGCCTTCACCTCCTCCAGTACCACAAGTGCCCCTATAGCCAGCCTTGTATGGGGACGGCATGATAGCCTTGATTAAAGAGTTTAAGAAAATGAAACCGCCGAGGTTCCTTGGGGGTATAGAGCCGATGAAAGCCGAAGCATGGGTTCTTGAGATGGAGAAGTTGTTCGAGATTTTCCCCAGCACTGACACTCAGAAGGTGTCATTGGCAGCATTCACATTGGATGACGACGCTCGCAGAT